TCCGCGCTCATTACATTTTGGTTTCCATAAAGGCCGCTGTTCTGAAGCCCGATCGGAATGGTTTACATTTCCCACTCGGAACTCGGCATAGTGCTCAGCAATCCTAGCAGAGCTGGGAAATCCAAACAAAAAGCAAGTTCGAGCATAAGCCAACCAAAACTTCGTCGGATTCGCATAATCGAGTTACATTATAAATTAAATTCGATAGGATTTCAGCACATAAGATTGCAATTCCGATATGATTGAGATTAAAAAATTAGTATTTGTTAATTTAAATTCAAAAAGTACTTAACGTGATGTTCAGATGCGCTGTATTGAATTTTCTACTTAACTCTCCGTTAAAAAATATAACGCCTTGTGTGGGCAGTACCCAAGGTTTATAGAACAAAAGGTTACGACAAGAGCGAAATCATATGTTTAAGGGGCACACTTAATGTTCCAATTTCGGTAGATTACACCTTTAAAAATAACATATTAAAATTTCAAATCGATATCTCAAATAGTTTTTTAGTTAAAGCAATTTAAAGAGCAGCCGCTCGGCAGCTACAAGGTCTCATTAGCTACGAGTGAAAACGATCGTTTTATCTTGAAACGCGTTTTTATCGAAAGAGCATTTTCCGAATTTGCTGCAGTGATTACTCAAAAACAAATGATCCGATCACTATCGAATTTTTTTACATATTCTATACATAGTTCCTCGTATAATGACCAATCGATTTTTGATCTCATCAAAAAATCGAATTTTGGCTGGCCAAAAACGACGAAAGTTTTAAGTAAAATTCGACTTCTTTTTTTAAAACGCCGCCATATTGTCAATTTTTGATTTTTGTTTTTATCGTAGGTCATTGTACAGACAATATTATCTAGTAGAAAATTTTTTTTTAGATTTCATCCACGGAGAAGGCCGGAATCACTGGACCTTTTTTCGCGTCATTGGAGATCGACTATGACTTAAAAAAAAATTTGATTATTTTCTTCAAAATTTTCACTGTATATTCTTAAAACATGTATAAATATATTCTTCAAAATTTTGAAATAATTGGTGAAGTATTTTTTTTAATAAACATTCCCAAAAATTACCTTGTTTTTAGGCCATTACACTAAATGTGCCGCTTATAGACGAAGTTGATTCAATTTGTGGATTGCCGAAGATTTCAAAATAAATTTTTATAACTTTTATGTCTAACAAATGTGTCTTAATTTCCAAAAAAAAAAATTAAATTATAAAAATTAATATTATTTTCTAACAAAAATTTCTATACCCAGCAACTCTAACTTTTATGTCATGCAATACGAATGGCAAGAGAAGATAATGTCAAAAGCGTTAAAAATTATAAGAATTCCAAGCAAACGCGCATTATTACAAAAGATTTAATATAAAAAGAGATTTTGGCATATTTTCTTTATCTGCTAAAAAGGTTTTGGAAAATGGGTGATGTTTATCATGTGAAAAAATCGTATTTAAAGATTCGAGGCGGTGAGGAGGTGTGCTGTGGGTTATTGTTGACAAAAATTAAAAAATAAACTTAAAATTTTCAGAAAAATTAAAACTAAGATGAAATATTATAGCAGATTTGTTAACCGTTTTATGAATTTTGTGATATAAGTTTTTGAGCTGAAAACTTCAAACTTTGGTATTAGAAAATCGGATAGTTAAATACTAATGTAATATAACATTTGCATATGTCAGAGGAAAATGTATATATTTTTTTTTACTGGTACTTAGGTATTAACGCCACCGCGGTGTACCTTTGTGTAAGAGTCGTATTCAAATTTGGTAGTCTTCGGCTACCCCGGACCATAGTTTCATCAGAACAGGCTACGCCTTGCACCTTGCACATGTGAAAAATCGCGAGATCTGTGACTGCCCACTGTATATATGACGAAGTTGGTTCCGTGACGTCTTCGGTTGTTGTAAACTTCTTTTCTATAAGCCTATTATTTTTAGAGTAAAGCGAAAATTTCATTGAAACCCGAAAATATTATGACTCAAGAGTCAGAAGTAATAATGATAATTTCCATGTTCCAAAAATTTATTCAAAATACGGGGACATATACATATGTATACGTGTATGTATATTCGCATATGTTTGCTTAAAAACTTGCTAATTTTCTGTGCTATGCAATTAACAATCACAAGCTACTTGGTGATTGTAATGAGAATTACTCAGTAGTGAAAAATAAGCTTAAATTTATGTAGCTGAAAAGTAAGAAAGAGCTTTGTTCGGCTTAAAGTGAATTATTGTATTCACCTACAGCTTGGTAGGATGGCTTGCAATTAAAAAACATCAAGTCGCAAAACCACAAATTGGAGGAGGAGCTCGCCCGATAATCGCTTCAGCGGTTACGAAAGCGCCAATCATATATATATCCTTCTACAAAAGACTGTCTTACCACAACCTTGATTTGAGATGGTATGGTACATTTGTTGATCATCTGGAGAGATTAGTACTACTTTGAATTTGAAGAGTTCAAAAATGATGAGACTAATATGTGCTCTTTCCCTTCGCCGTCATGCAGTAAATACAATCCGAGTAGAATGTTAAAACTAGACCAACAATTCCTGAAATCGATAAGCAATCATACCGTCTTAATTCACAGGCCCGGTTATGAGGTCAATATTCTTTAATGCTCCATTAGCTCATACCTGCGGTCTTTCAAAGTTTGGCCGCGGCTACGTCTCAGATGCTCCATCCGTTGAGTACAATTTTCAATGACTCGTTCGAGCATTTCGACTGGTATAACTGGCGAATGACAAGCGCGAGTGGGAGTGGGAGTGGCAGCGAGAGGGAGTGTCCGCATAGACTTTAGACTTTACATATCCCCACAGGAAATGTTTAACGATCTTGGTAGCCAATCAACTGGCCCAAAACTTGAAATTATCTGTTCACCGCAGTGTTCTCTCAATAAATCGATTGATTGATGAGATGTGTGGGAAGTAATGCCGTCTTGTTGAAACCAAATGTCGCCGAAATCACCAGCTTAAAATTCGATTATTATGGCGCGATAACGGTCCCCATTGACGGTTACATTCTCACCGGCATCATTTTTGAAGAAATGTAAATCGATGATTCCATCGGCCCACAAACCACACCAAGCTTTTGTGTTTTTTGTATGATATGGCAGTTTTTGAATCTATTAAGATTACTCTTTGCCCCAAATATGGCTATATTGCTTGTTTACATACCCATTGAGACAGAAATGGGGCTCATCGATGAACACAAAATGGTTCGAAAACATCGGATCTTGAAACTTTTCATAGAACGAGCGATGATGTGCGTTGGGAAGCTTGAGCGGGTTCAGTTCTTGCACAAGCTGTATTTTGTACGCTTTCAAAATAAGATATCGACGTAAAATACGCCATGCCGTTCCATATTTCAGTCCGAGTTGCCGCAAACGGTGCCGAATCGACTCTTCACAGTATTTGTGTTCGCTATCAGCTACGGACGTTAAATTTTTTTTACTGTGTAGTGGACGCAATCTATTTGGCCGAATATTATCCAATATTGCATGCTGGGTCTCAAGATGGGTGATGGTGTTGCGATTAGTACGCTCAGTAAGCCGATAATGTTGACCATCATTTGAACGAAGCGCGCGGAACACATTCTTTACAGAACGTGAATTTTCGTAATAAAATTTGAACGATTTGTAGACGTCGTTCGAGCGTCAGTCTTTCCAGTCAGTCACTATGTCACAAAAAGGGCTATTGAAAAAAGTATCTCTACTTGTTTGTTAGCTTCGTGCTGGCGATTTCTTTTGGCCGAATTCTCGAGCTGTGATTATAACGAATATTATTCGAAAATTTCCTCAAACGGATCGAAGTTTACAGACATTCGCATGGGGGTCATTTTAATGATGGAGAGTTTCACATACATATAACACCGGCAAGGTACAAACTTTACAATAGAAAATGAATTCTCTCTCCTACCGGCATCCTTCTCGTCCCCATTGATATATTTCCCATCGCGCAAGCTTGTTTAGTTCGCCTGCTGTGTCCTGTTGAGTAAACGTGTGTTCGTGGTGTTCGTCACTTAAATGGAAAAACGAAATCAAGAGCAACGCGTCGCGATAAAATTTTGAGCCAAATCGGGCGAAACAGCCCGGAAATCGAACGGCAAAGCTCCCATTGGTTCTCTCCGCACGCATGGCAGAGTTGGAGTTGAAGAATAATAGTCTCATTACTTAATTGTCACACCTCGTACATATTCGCAGTTGCATACATATAAACAAAAGTGTGCACAAATTGGCTGGAATCACCAATATTTTTTTTTATTCTTCTACATATTTAGCATTCTGGCCTCTAATGTCATGTGTGGGAGAATCCCAAATTCTAAAGATAACAATAGATGAGCGATCGGATCTTAAGTATACACATATACTCGTATATACATACATACATATTTATTTAGGATTACCTTGCAAACTGATTTGGAGTTCAAACACTTCTTTAAAGATAAGCATAATGCGTACATACTACGCACACACTTACAAAGTTAAACATGATTCTCGTTTTGTTATTTTTTTTTTGTTTTTTTTTTTTTTGGGAATCACCAAACTAAAGATTAGAAAACCCTGCAGCAATCTTCTGTTGTTGTTTTTCAATATACTTCTGGGCATTCTTTGAGTGATCATTTGCTCATGATCGTAAGTTTTTATTGATTGAGTGGCATTTTTCGTTATTTATTTATTATTATTTTCTACTGCTCTTCGCCATTTAAATCGCTAAATTGTCATAACATTGCTCTGTTGGCCGTAGATATCCAGTCTCAGATATTTTTAAGCCGAGCACTCATTGCTATACATGTGTGTATGTACATACATATGTATGTATTGGCGTATCGGTCACAAAACATAGCACCTACGTATGTATGTACATACGTGTATGTAAGTATGGAAACCGCAAGCATAGGAGCGAGTGAGCGCGTAGATTTTCAGTTCACTCATGTGTGTGCCGCTATTCCGAAATCTATAGATCGTTTTCGGACAAAATAACTGCTCTTCGCATTTAACTAACACAAGTTGGGTGTATAAATAATTTTTCGCACAGCATCAGTGCGTCATTAGTGTGAATTGTGAAGACATAAACGTACGCACCTCGCCAGCTGGGACTAGAGCAAATTAGAAGAATATTGTCTAAGCGTAATTTATCGTAGCAAAGAGTGTAGAATTATGAAAGTCTTGTTCGTTTTGGCACTGTTGATTGCCGCGACTACGGCGTTGCCACAATTCGGTGGTTTCGGCGGTGGACCTGGTGGCTTTTACGGTGGTGGTCCCGGTTTTGGTAGGCCTGGCGGCTTCGGTGGACCTGGCTTCGGCGGACCTGGAGGCTTCGGTGGACCTGGCTTCGGTGGACCTGGCTTCGGCGGACCTGGTGGCTTCGGTGGACCTGGTGGCTTCGGCGGTGGATTTGGCCGTCCAGGTTTTGGTGGCGGATATGGTCGTCCTGGTTTTGGCGGTGGTGGTTTCGGTGGACCAGGTGGGTTCGGCCGTGGTGGTGGCGGCGGCGGCGGTTCGGCCTCCTCGTCAGCGTCTTCAAGTGCCAGTTCGTCTTCAGGTGGCGGTCGTGGTGGTAGCTCTTCTTCAGCATCTGCGTCTTCTTCATCTTCTGCTGGCGGTCGCTTCGGTTAAATACCACACACCAACTGGTTTTTAGTTTAAGTTCATTTTTTTTTTTTAGCTTATAAAAATGTGATTTAAGTGTGCGGTAGGAATGAGCGTATAAACCGGAATGAATGTTTTTTATTTAACTTTTAAATGATAAATAAATGAAAAATTTGTGGAAAAAATAACTAAATAAATAAGTTCTATCTTTAGTCTGCAGTTTCTAGAGAAGGGGATATCTGAAATGTCTGACGTAGGTAATCGGCTGGTAGAAAGTCTTAACTAAAAAGAAACCCATTATTTTTGCAATAGTTGGCTTTAGTGATTTGTACCCCGCATTCTAGTAGTAATAACGCTGAGTGTCGCCAGAAAGATGATATTTAGGTTAGGTTAGATTGTAGTGACTACCGATCTTTTGGGTCGGATTCCCTCAGGCCTGACTAAGGGTAATTGTGTTGCAACAAAACTATAACTAAAGCTATATTCTACAAGTTTTCTTCGACAAAGGCGAGAAAGCCCATTAGGCAGTGTGGCTGGTTCTGACATTGTAATAGTAAATCATGGTCGATGAATGGTTGCCACATGAATTAACGAGAAATAACCTCACGGACCCAATTTCTATTAGCGAATGGTTGCGGAATCGCAACAAAATCGATCCTATTCTAATTTGGATGGTGACTGGTTACGCAAAATAGATCAATTATAGCAACGAAATGGTCTCCAAGCGAGGATTAACGGCCAGGAAGCTTCTGTTGTGTGTTTGATGGAATTAGCAAGGAGTCAGCTACGGTAACCTGCTCTCCTACGGCTGTATTTTTAATTCAAACATGTACTGCCGGCAATTGGACCTTCTGAAGGAACTGTTGGGTAGTGTTTCACCAGGACAACGTCGGACCACCACTGTAAGATTTTCCAGTTTTATGAATGACATTAACAGCCATATTCTCACTGTTACCGGTAAAGTAATTTTGTAACTTTTTTTAACACTCGAACTGATTATAATATTTGAAAAAATTTTGAGCTGCACCGATTTCTTCGTCTTTTATTTAAGGGACACACCTAGTGCGAAATTTGAAAAATCTTTTTTCATATTTTGTTAGATTGCGCCTTTAAAAATAACATATTAAAATTCCAAATCGATATCTCAAATAGTTTTTGAGTTATAGCACTTTGAACAGCAGCCGCTCGGCAGCTAGAGAGTCTCATTAGCTACGAGTGAAAACGATCATTTTATCTTTGAACGCGTTTTTCTCGAAACAGCATTTTCCGAATTTGCTGCAGTGATTACTCAAAAACAAATGATCCGATCACTATCGAATTTTTTTTACATGCTCTATGTATAGTTCTCCGTACAATGACCTATCGATTTTTGATCTGATCAAAAAATCGAATTTCGTCAGGCCAAAAACGACCAAAATTTTGGGTAAAATTCGACTATTTTTTTTTAAACGCCGCCATATTGTCAATTTTTGATTTTTGTTTTTATCGTAGGTCATTGTACAGACAATATTATCTAGTAGAGAATTCTTTTTTTTTTAAATTTCAACCACGGAGAAGGCCGGAATCACTGCAGCAGTGAAGGACCTTTTTTCGCGCCGTTGGAGATCGACTATAACTTAAAAAATGTTTAGTTTTTTTCCTCAAAAATTTCACTTTAGATTTATGTATAAATATATTTTTAAAATTTTGAAATAATTGATAAGGTAATTTTAATAAAAATTCCTAAAAATCACCTTTTTTAGGCCATTACACTAGGTGTGCCCCTTAAATCATAAATATTTGAACCTAATTTTCTAAAATATGACTAAGCGACAAAAAAAGCTGAGTGATAACGCTATCTTCCAAATTAAGAAGGTCGTTTGTTTCTCGCAATCTTCTTAGCATACAAAGGTGTACACCTTTTTCTTCATCTTCTATGAATTCCAGGCCCAAACTTTTTTTTTCCTCAAACTAACAACACAAAATCAAACAGCAGATTTTTTATTACCTCCTATTTCGCTATTAATAAAATTTACAGGGGGACAGTGAACTCAGAATACGAAATAGTAACAAAATTTACAGAATATTAAAATTTTAATACCAAAGTAAATTTCGTTACCTCGACAGAATAAGCCTGTAAAATGCGTCATATAAATCTGAGGAAAAACTTGAGCCATGGTGGAGGTTCGGTCATTTTGCAATCCTCACTGTTGACTTTTGGTGAGAATAGAGTGGTTCGATCACCTTTCGGGTATTTGAATTTACAGACTGATCTGTCAAAAAGCCGATAATATTCGGCACAGGAGCGTTTGGAGTCATTTACATTTCACTATCCACGTTCGATGTTTGGTTGTGACATGAATTAACTAAAAAAACTACAAAAAAAAAAAGAAATTATTGATTGAATTATCATCCGTGAAATGCTTATGAAATGTGATAAAATCGAACTATTGTATTTCTGAAGCGAATTATAAAGTGTATGGAGAAATTATTTAAAAGGGAGGAAATAAAATGAAGAAATCCCTGCAAAGATCCACAAATGACTTCAAAGTCTGAATTGAAGTCAAACAAGGTGATGCTGCGTGTAAAATGGTATTGGAAGGAATTTGTTGTCATTATGAAAGACACTACAAATCAATTTTGTGCTCTACAGTCAGCAATTAACCTGCTTACCGCAGGCTCGTCAAAAAATGTGTCCAAAATTCAATTGAAAATGAGTTTTGTTTTATGACAACAAGGCAATCTTTGATCACCAGGCAAAATTTTTAATGCTCCCACCGTATAGTCCGAACCTTGTACCGTCTGACTTCCCTTTGTTTCGCTTCCAGCAAAACTCTCTTGATAATGAAAAATTGACCGACCGAAGTGTCGCTGGCCAAGTTCTTCGCCGATAAGTCCCACAAAAATAATTCAAAAAATGGAATAAAGCGTCTAACCAGTAAACGATAAGACCGAGTACTTATACGCGTGTTTCTTAAGGATCGCAAAAGATCTTCTTCTGCCCTTGCAGCTGCCCTTTCGGATGAATTTAGTAAACCAGTTAGTGGTCGAACAGCTAGAAGTAGGTTTAAAATGACGTAAAGCCTGAAAGAAGCCGTGGCTCTCAGAAAAGAACAGGAAAACTCGTTTAGAAGGGCTCGTCAAAACCAATATTTCACGGCAGAAGATTGGTCCAATATTCTGTGGTCTGATGAATCAAACTTCGAGGTAATCTTAGTTAAGATCGTCTCAAAGTATTAAGAGCCATAGCTTCTTACCCTAGTCCAATTTTGAAGACATAATACAAATCTTATGAAAACATTATTTTTTTTCTACAGATATTCGGAACACCTGGTGTGCCGTTCGTGAGGCGACGGGTTGGAGAAGAATATCATCCAGATTGCGTGGTACCCACTGTTAAGCATGGAGGGGGTAGCATTATGATCTGGGGCTGCATGGCTGCTGATACTGTGCTTCTGTGTTCGCGCATTTCCGGCGATACTAATTTAATTCAATTTCAGCAAAACAATGTTTCTTGTCACAAATCAGCGACTACGATGCATTGGTTTAGAGATAACAACATTGTTTTGTTAGATTGGCTTCCTCAGTCTCCAGATCTTAATCCCATTGAGCACACGTGGGCTATTTTAAAACGCAAGATTAAGGAACACAGTATAACATCAAAAACTGCCTTAAAGAATGCCTTAATTAACGAGTGGTACGCAAGAAGTGCGGACGAATGTGCAAAGCTTGTACGCAGCATACCTAAGAGAATTGCTGCGAAGGGTTGATCGAAGGGTGGACCTACCAAAATTTAAATTTTTTTTATAATAATTTAATATATTATATAAATATTATTATCACTAATACATTATCACTGCTATACTAATAAAAGCTCATTACTTCAATTGTTGAAACAAAAAATTCAGTAAATAGTGGGGTGCCTAATACTTTTGGTCGTTGGCTGTATATATATTTATTCAAAACCAAAAAATATTTCTTGATGCAGAAAAGCGAGTCACAAATATCAATGCTGGCGGTTTGAGTATTAAAATCAAAAGTGTACACTAAGATTCAAAGGGTTTTCTAGATGATTTTGAAGAGATTTTAAAGCTAAGTTCGCTACGTTGGAATGAGCTATTGATAGCACCTTATTATATAGTAAGTGAAGGAAAATTATTAAGCTGTAAATGACTTTTGTAGTGAGGGAAACCCTTCCCTTGGACAAACACATTCCAATTTATCACTCACTATACGGTTATCATTCGACGGAATCATATTCCAAAATAGGCCTAACGAGTTATATATTAGTTATGTGTTAGTAGGGATCGGAAGCACTCCATAATCCTGACTTTTGTTGTACAATCTAGACAAAACATAATCTAAAAAATTTTCAAAAATCCAGACAACAGACAATTTCGACACGATATAAATGACGACCGAAATATAACTAAATATGTAGACAAAATCCGGACTATATTTTATCAAAAAAAGGGAAAATATTTGATTGCCATAAAATTTTATTTATATTTTTTTAAACATAATAAATTCACTGCATTGTTGTTACGTATTATTTTTGAGCGGAAAATAAAATAAACAAGAGAAGTAAAAAAAATAAAGAAAAAAATCTAGCGATTTGTGTAAATTATTATTTTTTATTTCCTTTTTTTCGGAATTTTTGTCGACATTAATAGACTGTCGTCGTGTATGGAGTGTGCTTTGACGGTATTTGGTCGTGTCTGACTTATGCGCTTCGGGATTTTATGTAGCGGGATTTCACTGGGCTTAAAGTAAATTCGAAAATTTAAATAATTTTTTTTGCGAAGCCTCGGTTGTAAAGTTATACCTTGAAATTTCTTTGGTATATTTTACTTTAAAAACCTAATGGTGACGTTCCCATGCGTTTGAGTAGTCCCTTTGCTCTTCCCACTTTGCAAGTTTCCTAGTAATTTTCAATTATTTTTACTACAATTTCTTCATAATGATTTTTTTTGTGCAGTTTTTGTAAATCTTTTTCTTTTTATAAATCTTCTTCGGAAGCTTTTTCTTCGACTTTCGCGCAGAAATAACTTCAACAAGTCTCACACGTTGGGTGAGGGTAGGTGGGGTAACCTTTTCAAAGGCCCAACATTGCTGTAACAAAGGGTGGCACTAAGTACCGTCGATCCTGCAATTTTCCACTTTATGAGAAATTATTGAAGAGTAAACGATGTAAATGAATTATTATTCATA